CTGTTCATTTATACGCTTCTAACCTTTGCTTTGGAAATAGCTTAGAAATATATAAAATAAATTACTTGTATTGGTACTCTAAAAATGTATGATTACGTGTTTCTTTATTGATCACCCTGTATATGTAGAAATACGTTTAAAAACCGTAAAATAATATAATTGCTCAATTCTTCTTTTAATTGTATAAAATAGGATGCTATGGTAATTTGACGTCTATTATGATTTTTTTTTTGTGATATGGAATTGAAGGTTCCAATTTTCTTTTATGGTTTAAGAGTTTAATAATTTTTTAATAATTAAAATGCCAGTAATGGAGAAAGAAAAAAAAAGGCGTAAGGAGTCTTTGGTACGTGAAAATCAAAAATATGATAAATAACGGAAAGTTCACACGCATGCTTTGCAATTTTAGACGGAAAATGAAAAATTAAATCGGATGTTAGTATACAAACGTATGTTTCGGGCAGAGGTGAGAAAAGTGATTGCCAATCGATATTGGTTGGAAGAGATGGACGAACGAAAAATACTGGGCGACAATGTCAAACAAAATTTTCTTTTAATTACAAAGAAGAAAATAAGGACGGATCTTAAGTTGGAGGTGATAAATATTCAATTAGTAAACCATGAGACATGTTGTTCTTAAGAGCGTTTTAGGAAAAAGCTCTTCTGCGAAAACCAACAAATTTACGAACGACCGAAGAAATGAACAAAATCTTTTCTGTTATCGGTTCTCTAAAATGTTTCACAAAATACGACGATGTAAGCCATTTAATGATTTTAAATGTTATCAATATCTAATTGACAAAGCTCCAGGGCTTTAAGGGCTATCGAAAAAGGACAAAGGACTAGGGGTGAGCGTTATGTAACGTAAGTAGTTTCCGAAACTGCGTACTAGCTAAATAATCGTATAACCTGTTTCGACTGTGTACGACAAGCGGTTACGGTTATGGTTATTTTCGTTATCGGTTACTTTGAGTAAGTAGTTTAGTATCTTCGGTTTTAACGTTGTAAATAGCTTACTGTACGTTAAAGTTGGTACCCATGGGTAACAATAACGTGATGCCTGGTATTATACCTATTTTGTTATTCGAAGGTCACGTATTTCTTTTGTCATATCTTCGTCTTCGTTCCTCGGAGTTATGATTTTGAGTAAATAATATTTGAACAGATCAATCAAAATCATACATACATAGAAAAGCTGTTTAGAAGATTATTTATTGTGGCCTCTTATATTTTTAGTCATGAAAGAAAGTCTATGAATTCCAGATCAGATCTTGAGAAGAACTTAGTAACAAACAACTATTACAATATTTAAAATTTTTGTAATTGTGTAGCAAAGTTGTTGAAGCTTTCTAGGAGATAATTTTCCGAGGGTACGATGTTTATTTTTAACTTAGATTTATACAACAGTTACCAAATGCAAAAATATCTTTCCGTAAAAGTGTAAAATATCAAATCGTCGATGGTAAATACATGGGTTTGTTTGNCGTAGGTAGGGAGAAAAAAGCTCATTATACTCTCGTCTCTTGTTCATTAAACATACTTTTTCATACAGTACCTGCCAAAAGTTTTGTTCAATCATGAATAGTAAATCAACAAAATTGAAGCATAGATTAATAAAGATTTTGTATACTTCATTTACTTTCTGTAGCGATGTGCTCCTTCCATTTTCTTGGATGCGCACTGGCAAAATCGTATGCAGGGAGAAAAAAGCTCATTATACTCTCGTCTCTTGTTCATTAAACATACTTTTTCATACAGTACCTGCCAAAAGTTTTATTCATAAATATGAAATCAACAAAATTGAAGCATAGATTAATAAAGATTTTGTATACTTCATTTACTTTCTGTAGCGATGTGCCTCTTCCATTTTCTTGGATGCGCACTGGCAAAATCGTAGGCAGGGAGAAAAAAGCTCATTATACTCTCGTCTCTTGTTCATTAAACATACTTTTTCATACAGTACCTGCCAAAAGTTTTGTTCAATCATGAATAGTAGTGCGAGTCGAAAACAAGCGTTAAAGCCTTTAATATGTCTTCAAATATAAATAAACATCTCGTTGATATTT